ATGATTTTAAACATTTTTGAAAGTTTTTAATTAAAGGGCTTTATGAGTAATTGATAAGAAATTATTTTTTAAATAAACTTTTACACATTGTATCTAGAAAATAAAGCAAGTTAGGACAAACGATTATATGAAATATTTTCCTTATTTTTGACTTATACGCCCTTAAAATCTTTGTACTCGATTTTGAATCACCCTGTATTTTTCGTTTTGTATTAGTTTTATTTATGTTATTATTATATTTTTAAGATTCATTTAAAATTTAGCCATTGCGTTATTATAAAAAATATTTATTTATATTTTGAGCCAAAACGAATTAAAAAGACTAATTTGAAAGCCCTATGATTTTTGTCCCAAAATGATCATTTTCGCAACAATCCATTTTCCATGTTAATATCGCTGTGGTTAGATGTCTCTTTCAAGAAAAAATGCAAAGATTATAACTTACGAATAGTTTAGTACCTATATTAATTTTAAAACAAATTAAAATGTTAAACTATCAATAGCAAACCCACAAAACTGCAACAGAGGTTCGACTGGTAATTGTGAAATGAACTAAAAATAAAAACGGGACTTTATAATTTCCACTAAGCCTTCCTTCTGGAAGAATCATCCGCTCGAGAAAATATTTTTTTCATCAAAGGTAGGTCGGGAGTCAAATTTTTTCATCCTTCATCTTCAGTGTACACTCCGAATAAAAAAAAAATTGGCGCCGGGAGGTACGTATAGCCGCCCATACTAAAATATGTTAATAAAAAGTTGGTAGGCAGTTCTTTTAGTTTCAAAGTAAAGGAATTTTTCCATTTTTTTTATCTCTCCATTTTTTTTATCTCATCATTTAATCAGTCAAAGTCTCAAAAACTGCGACTTTGACTGATTTTGATGTTGTTACAAATTTTGTTGGAAATATTATTCCTAATCTTAAATTGAAAACCGCGTTTCGCCAGCTACTGTAATTTTGGAGTTACGATTTTTTTAAATTTTTAATCTCCTCCCATACCCCCTTACCAACCCCCTACCCCCACCAAAAACTAATGGCCAAATTCTCGGGTGCCACAGTATTTTTGTGCCAAATTTGGTTAAAATGAATTCAGCGGTTTTTGAGTTATCGTGTTACAGACAGACGGACAAACAGACACCATGAAAATATTTTGTATTTAGGTCATTTATGACCCAAATATCTCATTTTGAGTGAAATTAAAGAAACTTTTTTTTGCCGATCTTAATAATAGCCTACCATACCTGTTGGTATGGTCGGCTAAACAATGAAATAATCTACAACGCGTATCACTTTGGATGATTCTTCCAAGACGATCTTAAAAGTGACGAATGTAAATCAGCCTTAATTAATAATATGTATTTTTTTAATATTGTTAAACAAACGTAAGATTTCTTAGTTACGATAGTTTACGTTAGTTTTTTTCCAAATGTATTAATTGTCATTTCGAAACTATCCAGCACTTTGTATTTTCACCAAATAAAGTAAAAAATATCCTACAAGATTTTGCACTTTAACTGCCTATTTTGTTGTTTGTTTCAACCAGGCCGCACTATTTCATAGAGACATTTCCATATTCGATTATATGAATATTTAAATACCATTTGTATGCAACGAGTTACAGGTCAACAGTAAAAGAAATCTGAATATATCACTAGAACAAAATTATTTTTGAATCTGATATAGTTATTAGACATAAAGTATTCTAGAAAGTGTATAATCAGAAAAAAAATACCTACCCAGGAAATTTAGTATTGTTTTAGTAAAGACTATTTAAGTCGACATGAAGAAAAAAATAGATTAACCATATATGTACATTGATTTGTTTTGAACCTACCTTTTTTTTGGTTTTGTTTTGCTAATTTTTGCCTATATACAAACCGTTTATTTACAGAATTGGGCGCCGAGGACGCGTCGACTTTTTAACGACTTCTACACGTCAACAAAACGTCGACTTTGAAGTAAATGTCGACAACGCCGACGCCGAGAATGCCACAGACCCAGGTTTGACGTTAGGTTTGTCAATAGAAGTGGAGTGACCAATTTGACCTCCCCCCCCTGATTGGTTAATGATTACTTATTTCTCCGGATATTTTTGGTTATTTAGTTTGACTTCTTTATAACTTCACAAGTGGTGGTTATTGTTTACTTTTTGTTCAATTAATTGTAGTACATTAAACTATAGGTCTATAATTATAAAATATTAAACATGTTGAAATATCCGTAATATTATATTAATTATATTATAATTATATATACAGGGTGGTCCGAACTGTATTCCGGAAACTTCAGCAGCATATTCTGCAGATAAAAATAACCAAAAAAGTTTGTATAAATGTATGTCCTAAAATTCTTAGTTTCAAAGATACAGGGTGTAGAAGTTTCATTTTTATTTCAATTTTTTCCAAATAATTTCTGAAGTAACATCAATATTTGGATGAAAATTGGTGTCTGGGAGTTTTTTGACATGGGAAATTTGATTTTGATGTCAATATGACTACTAGTAGAGAGCGCCACCTACAAATTTTTTAACTGGTTTGAAGAGTAATAACTTTTCGTCCGTACTTGTATAAAACTACTGAATAAAAAAAATATACATTTATAACGTTTTCTAGGTGAAAAAGGTCTCTTGGTAAAAATCGGTACGAGTAATGGTTTTCGAGTTATTTGGAATCGAAATTATCAATACCTGTCATCATTGACATAAATTAAACATGTTGACGAAATAGTTGTCAGACTGAAATCATAAATTTGAAATGATTTTGTGTCGAAAGTTCAACAGAAACTGTTTTATCATCATTTTTTGCAGAAAAAATTATGATTAATTTAAAAAAAATAAAATTTCCCAAATTTATGATTTCAGTGAAATAACTATTTATTCAACATGTCAATTTTGCGTCAATAATGACATGTATTGTCTATTTCTATTCTAAATATTTTAAGAACGGTTGCTCATAGCGATTTTTAGAAAGAGATATTTTTTACGTAAAAAGTCACAGAGATGTATATTTTTTTCGCTTGGTAGTTTTATACAGGTACGAACAAAAAGTTATTATGCTTCAAAACAGTTAAAACACATGTAGTGGCGCCCTCTACTAGAGTCATATTGACACCAAAATCAAATTTCTCATGTCAAAAACTCTCAGACACCAATCTTCATCCAAATATTGACGTTACTTCAGAAATTATTTAAAAAAAAAATCGAAATAAAAATGAAACTTGTACCCTGTATCTCTGAAAGTAAGCATTTTAGGACATACATTTATACGAACTTTTTTGCTTTTTTTATTTGAAGAATATGCTATCGAAGTTTCCGGAATACAGTTCGACCACCCTGTATATATTATTATTAATATTTTGCATTTTCCCTCTGTTAAAATAAGCACTAAAACTACATGCAGATATATTCCTAATAAGTCATAAATGTTGAACATACGATGGCTAGTTTAAATTTCTTAGTTCCTAGATTTCTTAGTTTTCCACTTGCCAACGAAAGATATCAAATAAAAAGAAATTACATTAGGAATGGAGCTGAGTGTAATGGATATGTTTCTTCAGTAGTGGATAAAATAAATAGAAAACATAGGTATAAGTTTGCGATTTATGAAAATTCGACTTTTCAAGTGGAGAAAGATACGTCAAAATATTTTTCAATGCCGTTTAATAGAGAGTTATCCAGTGGTTTTAAAATCATTTTTAAGAATGTCAATTATAAACTTGTCTATATAGTACTAATAATAAATTACAACAATTATTAGGTAATCCTAAAGATAAAGATTGAAATCAGAAATATGTTGGGCCAACTAGAAGATCAATATTAACTAGATTTAAAGAACATATGGCTCAGATAAGATATGGTAGACCGGATAAATCTTGCGTTGCTGAACATATTGTTGATAAAGAACATTGTATAGATATTAATATTTTAAAATTAATTAAAGAAGTCTCAAATTACAGGCAATCAGATGCATATGAGAGCGTCAACATTAATAAATGTAAAGATAGTATGAACAGAGACAATAGCCAATTCCGTCCAGTTCTCTGTTCCTAAAAATTATGATTAATTTAAAAAAAATAAAATTTCCCAAATTTATGATTTCAGTGAAATAACTATTTATTCAACATGTCAATTTTGCGTCAATAATGACATGTATTGTCTATTTCTATTCTAAATATTTTAAGAACGGTTGCTCATAGCGATTTTTAGAAAGAGATATTTTTTACGTAAAAAGTCACAGAGATGTATATTTTTTCGCTTGGTAGTTTTATACAGGTACGGACAAAAAGTTATTATGCTTCAAAACAGTTAAAACACATGTAGGTGGCGCCCTCTACTAGAGTCATATTGACACCAAAATCAAATTTCTCATGTCAAAAAACTCTCAGACACCAATCTTCATCCAAATATTGACGTTACTTCAGAAATTATTTAAAAAAAAATCGAAATAAAAATGAAACTTGTACCCTGTATCTCTGAAAGTAAGCATTTTAGGACATACATTTATACGAACTTTTTTGCTTTTTTTTATTTGAAGAATATGCTATCGAAGTTTCCGGAATACAGTTCGGACCACCCTGTATATATTATTATTAATATTTTGCATTTTCCCTCTGTTAAAATAAGCACTAAAACTACATGCAGATATATTCCTAATAAGTCATAAATGTTGAACATACGATGGCTAGTTTAAATTTCTTAGTTCCTAGATTTCTTAGTTTTCCACTTGCCAACGAAAGATATCAAATAAAAAGAAATTACATTAGGAATGGAGCTGAGTGTAATGGATATGTTTCTTCAGTAGTGGATAAAATAAATAGAAAACATAGGTATAAGTTTGCGATTTATGAAAATTCGACTTTTCAAGTGGAGAAAGATACGTCAAAATATTTTTCAATGCCGTTTAATAGAGAGTTATCCAGTGGTTTTAAAATCATTTTTAAGAATGTCAATTATAAACTTGTCTATATAGTACTAATAATAAATTACAACAATTATTAGGTAATCCTAAAGATAAAGATTGAAATCAGAAATATGTTGGGCCAACTAGAAGATCAATATTAACTAGATTTAAAGAACATATGGCTCAGATAAGATATGGTAGACCGGATAAATCTTGCGTTGCTGAACATATTGTTGATAAAGAACATTGTATAGATATTAATATTTTAAAATTAATTAAAGAAGTCTCAAATTACAGGCAATCAGATGCATATGAGAGCGTCAACATTAATAAATGTAAAGATAGTATGAACAGAGACAATAGCCAATTCCGTCCAGTTCTCTGTTCCTACTGCTGTAGTTTCGCTAATTAATTGTTACTCTCGGTTGGTTTTGACTCGCTTGGCTAGTTTTTGCACTCGGAGCGAACTGAGCGAGCATATAAACGCTCAATTTGTAGATATTAATTTAGTTTTAATTATCTGCTGATGATGCTAACACCAAAGGTTCCAACCCCCAACTGTAATCTTATTTTTGGTTAAGAATAGTTATTCTATATTTTTAATAAATGTTTATTCTATTGTTCTAAGATTTAAGTGTATAACGTTTTACTTTAACCATCGCCATATAATTTTTGTATCAGATTATTCTCGACAGCACACAATAATTAGCTCTCGACATTGGCGACGTCACTTAGGAAGTCGACGTCGACACCATATTTGACGCGTCAATAGTTCAATTGTCAACATGACATTCCCGACGTTGCACAACTCTGTTAACTTATTTATAATGTCATTTGATCACAGACGTAATCTAATCCCTATTTACACATCATATACGATCTTCGTTAATAAACATTTTTTTATAAATAAATGCCAACCTAGAGCATATTTCTGTTTACATCTGATTTTTATAAATGGGGTACTTTCGTTTAGTACTTTACATAGTTTCTTGGTTTTTCTTATTCGTCTGAGATACAAAATTGATTAAAAAATGTACGATGCCCAAAACTATAAATATAATTATCTCGTCAATTTTATCGCTAACAGACATTTTGAATGTTGAATAAGTAAAATTTAAAAATCTGATTGTAAGAAATGATAATTCTTCTTTAGTTTGTGCTGTCTTTATGCGGACAGATCACTTTTACTATCGAAACGACGACAATGAAGACGGGTAAAAACAATGCGAATAATCTGAGCGACGGATCGACGACGACGTCACGCCAAATTACAATCAATTACATCTCAATCAAATCGATATTCGAACGATGTGCCGATAAAAAGAGAAAGAAGATCTTCCTTTGTCTCTTTTCCTTAAGTTACAGGTGGAAAAATAAAGGAGGTCATAATACAAAGCTCCGGATTATGATGGTTTATTAAATAAAATATATTGTTGGATTCGCATTGTCCACATCCTGAAGACCAATTTTTGATATTTCTAATACTATATACTAAGATTATTTTTTTATATTTTTTTAATTAAAAGATTTATATTAGTCCACACATGATACAGATAAGTGTTACATTTGACTGAAACGTTTTGCAAATTTTCAAAATTAAATATAATGTCAGTAATAGAAGACATTTTATTTATATTATATAATTTATCAATATCTACCACTTTCGCAAAGCTACATATTATGTGAGAGGGTAACACTATACAACAAGAGGACCATCACTTAGGTGAACCACCAATACTTACCTAGGTGTTGTACTAGACACATCGCTTACTTACAAACACCATTACCCAAAATCAAACTGAAAGTCACCTGCTGAGAAAACTCCGTGGAAGTAGGTGGGGCGCCAACCAACTCTAAGAACAACAGCACATACAAGCCTTATTTTTCTCAGCTAGTGAATATGATTGTCCTTTTTGATGTAAATCTGGCCATGCTAAGCATGACTCTGAATGTGCAGAGTAACTACTGGCTGCATCAAGGCAACACATTTAGACAGATTTTACAACGCAGCAGGCTTGGACTACCCCGCAAAACGTCGAAGTGAACTTGAGTATACCGAAAGGTTCCAACTATCGTTCGATAACGGGCATCCACTTTATGCAGCTGAAACACCTCCAAGACGATTGAAATCCCGTCGAGGTTTCCGAAACACGGTAAATATTTAACTACCAGATGAGTTCCCTTTACATCAAAATCCACAAACGATCCACTTCGGTTGGAAAACTTGGAAGATAATAAAATTATGCCGGCATCGCTCCAGTAAATGACAACTTCCAATGCAAATGCGGCGAAAAGCACATTATGGATCATGTTACCAGATGCAGAAATTGGTTCTTATCGTTAACGTTCTCAAAATTTATGACTGGCAAATTAGTGTTTTTATTTTACTGGCAAATGAAAATGCAATTGACGTAGCCCGGCATTGTGCGAAAATTATTTAATCTTAAGGACATGAAAAAGTAAGTATCACTTTCAAGAAAATACTTAATAAATATATTAAAAAAGAATGGAAGGAATTACTAAATTAATATATGTATTCTCACTTACCTTTAAATGTTGAAGAAGTTTGGAGGCTTGCACGCAGAACTCGTTCTCGAACTTGTTGAAACAGCCATGGTACTCGCAAACTAGCAAGTCCCTAGCTTGGCGAATTAGGCACTTTTTCGATCCGGCAAAGTTGCTGTAAATGTCTCCGAAGTATTTTTCGACTAGGGCTTCTACTTCACTTTTATGCTGAAACAGAAGAAAAATACACATTATTGCCATTGTAAATAGAAACTAAAATGCCATATTATAATAAATTAACTATAACAAATAATTGTGCAAACGAAGTATTTTAATTATACCTGAACTTGTAATGGAAAACATCAACCATAAACTATATTGGGATACACTGATTTTAACAGATAAAACAGTATTACATAATAAACCCAATATACTCTCGATAAACAAGGACAAGAAAAAATGCTTCATAATTGATATAGATAATAATAGATATATAATTGATATAGATAATTGATAGATATATAACTTAACAGAAAAAATACAGAAATAACAAGATCTTGCATGTGAATTAAAAATAATATACTAGCCCAATAAAGCCATGATTTTACTTTTGTAATCGCTGCCAATGGACTTATTCAGAAAGATTTTACCAATAATACGGAATTATTGAAATTAAACCCAAAGCTTACCAACGAGTGCTTAAAAGCAGCCATACTGGGAACAGGAAGTCCCTGAACTAGAGCAGTTCTGGTCAAGAAACCCAACCAACCGAGTTAATCGTGAAAAAAAAACAGATGAACACTAATTTGACACTTGAATTATATTAAACAGTTTTATTAACAAAGATCGTATATGGACATTCTGCAGAGTGAGTTTAAATAAGTGCATATATTGTCATGGCTGGTAGATCCTGAACATTTTCTTTAAAGTAGTTAAAATCGGATTTTTCGAATTTGGCATGTGTATTTAGCATACGCAGACCTTTAAAAAATCTATTCACGACTTTCCTGTAAAACCGACAGGGGAGCCAATATTTGGACAGTTTAAAATTTACATGCGATGCCTATGGTTCCAACGACTATCCATCCTGATATGGTAATGCACTCATTCTGTAATATGGCCCCTACGAGACGTATAACGTAAAATGCCATTAAAAGAGCCTGTATTTAAAGTCATGTGTAACATATACGATATATAATTAACTTAAAGAGACAGGACAAGTGCATTGATAACAATCCACAATTTGCGTATTACATACGTTATAGGAATAACGTCGAGGGAAAAACAGAATCACAGAGCCCAATTTAAATGGACCGTGTCCGAGGGGACCGACATTTCACAGTCACTTCGACCTTTTCGGTCACCGTTTTCGGCCGAATAATATAGCGGTGAGAATTAATAATATTAATTCGAGAAACTTTCTTATATGAAAATACCTGGGCTCTTATCAACGCCGTGCGTCGCGTCGTTTTCGAGGTTTTGAGGAGATTAAATCGAGAAGAGTGGTAGAGTAGCCGCATCTAAAGAAGCCACAGCATCATCAGTCACACGACTGTATTGCGATTTTTCTTCTTCAATATTAAGGGGCCCTCTTATGCCGCAAACACTGCGACCTGTAAGGTAGGCCGGGGCGAAAAAAAAATTTTTGGATTTTTATCTTGTCATACTTTTAAAAGTGTGTGGATTTGATTAAAACTTATATTGCTTTTTTGGTTTTGACAAAAAAATTGAGTTTGGCCGCGCCCCTCCCCCCCTGAAAATGTCAAAATATGAAACTCAAAATTAATGGCCGTAATAGTGTTAAAACTTATCCATTGTGCTTTAGAATGACTGCTGAGAATTAAAAAATATATATTTATCTTATCATTTACTTGCGCCCCTGTTTACTCAAAAATTTATATATATATATATATATATATATATATATATATATATATATATATATATATATATATATATATATATATATATATATATATATATATATATATATATATATATATATATATATATATATATATATATATATATATATATATATATATATATATATATATATATATATAATAATAATATTTCATATATATATATATATATATATATATACAATTTTTCGCTTGTAAAAGAGTATATGTGTACATATATATTTAATATAATAAATTAAGTTCTTTATAAAACTTTTATTCATCGCTTTTTCAACCCAGAACTCACCATGAAGAGATAACTGTATGTCGAGTTCCACCCCCACGCCCCCTTCCTTCTCCCTTTATACAAATTTCGATCTATTAATCTGTTTTCGGTCTCTTACTCGAAAAATACTGCTGTTTGGTTTCAAATTCTGGTAAAAAACTTCTTTCTTCTAGTTTGACTGTTGAAATGTAGCTATCTCTTGATTTTTCACCACATACCTACCTTACTGATGCCTCAGTCACTAATTTCACACAGCGCTCGACCGCCTGAGTGCGACATGAAAATTTGATTGTTTTGGGAATTATGAAGGCCTTGCTTTGAATTGCCTCTCTCAAATCGTGATCACTTATGTGCTTTGTCAGAGGCGGCTCTGTGACATTACATTGGCTCCAATCGATCAACTTTGTATATTCCTGGGCATCGAAATTTATTTTGGGAACTCTAAATACCCTCAGTCTGGGCGGTGTTTCTCTTGCTTTCAAAAATCGTCTGATTCCGAGTTCTCTGATATGTGGTCTTTCATCGGATATCATCGCTAGAAGAATATTCTCGGGTTGGACAAAATAGCCATTTGTAGAAATTACCCGGTTGATGATAGTTTTCATTTTATCAGGAAACTGTTTTGATTTGTGTACTAATTGCCACAAATGCCCAGAGCCATTCTGAGAACCGGGCTGAGTCTTTATAGTAAACCAGATAGGAGCATAAACTTTCATGACAAACGTGGCCCCGTAAAACAAGGTTTTCTGAAGGCAAGTCTGTGGAAATATATAATCGCAGTAAACGGTTTGCCGTTGTTAGCCATCTTGCATGACTTATCTTTCCCGGATCTTTCTCAGATAAAGTGTCAGGGCAGATTCCATCTCGGACAGCAACACATATACGGTATAGATATTGCTAGTCTGTGCTAAGATCTTTTTCATCGACATGACCTAAAGTTGTGTGTATTTTCTGAAAATTTATAACTGGTCTCGATTCACATGCTGCCAGCTTAGATCCAATAGGCCCAGAGTAAGAATAAGGTCCTTTAGTGTGTCCGTCTAGGTCTGCAACGAGATGGTGCAGCGGTAATTCGTTGGTGTGAAGCAAGCAAATCAACCATTGCAGGGGTCTTTTAATATGAATTTCCAGCAGCCGTATAATACCACTCTTCCAGCCAGTATTCACGTTCGTACCGTCACATCCAACAACTGTTAGACATTTCAGATCAATAGATTTAGCTTCAATGGTTGATATGATACTTTTTGATATATTCAAAGCAGTGCCGGAAGTATTCATGCTTGTATGGCCAAAATAGGTGCTTCCTGGCTCTACAATTATCGATATACATATGTTCCTGCTGTTTAGTAATAGGACGTACTTTAATAAGCATCATGGTCTGGTCTTTTCTTACATCAAAATAATTTTTTTGCGGCGCGGCGGACGTGATTATTCATCTCGCACTTCTGGTCTGGTGCGGCCATAAATACAATATATTTTATCTTAGCGGGGCGCGGTTTAAAATTAAGTAAACTGAATAAAAAAAAATCTGGTTTATTTTTATCATTAATAAAATCGTTTTTTCGATATGTAAAATTCATGTTATATGTCAACAAATATTGAAATAAAAAAAATACCCCTTTCATAACCCAGGGGCGCGGCTAAAAATCATTTTAAAAATCCAAAAAAAATCGCAAAGATTTTTGACCTACCACACAACTTTTTATCTCTATAACATATCATTTTTCAAACAAAAAAAAAATTCGGCCTTTTTCGCCCCGGCCTTCTGTAAGGCCTATTGTGTGGGTGTTTGTCCCTTTTCTATCTCTACGTCAACTCTCCTATATCTGTGCCTTGCACCAGTTTTGTTCTTGATAATGGATAAGAGGGAGGGTAGCCCAACCTCACCAACCTGTACTAGCCTTATTCCTTATTTTTCCAACATAAAGTGTCGCTAGCCATCCAGAGCCTTGATGTCACATAATAGTGCTCTGCTGTTTCGGGATCTTTATCGCAAAGTCTACAATAAACTCTTCCTCAATACAGGTTAAACTTGTTCAGATAGCACTATACCGGGTAGCATGTCACCCGGGAGGTTTGTTTATTATTTTCACTCAGTCTTCAATTTTGATGTATCATTGGGTCGGGAAAACAATTTTTTCATCAAAAGTTGGTAGGGATCACATTGTTTCATTTTTAGTGTTGTAATATATCACACCCAAGATTCTGTATAACAAACAATTTAAATAAAAAAAACACGTTATGTAAATATTTTTATTCTGACCTATTTCGGATGCGCTGGACAAATACACTTGCGTGCATAGAAATCGGCCCAAGGCAAATTTTTGAAGTTAACTATATATTTTTTAGAATCTATTTGTCAGATTAAGAAAAAATATATGCTGTTTGAAAGACAATTTCATATTCTTTGAAAATAGGTTGGAGATATTAATTTGTATTTTAGTTCCTTTGGATTAAAATTATTAAATTAATGCATGAAAGAAATTATCGTTTTTTATTACTAAGAAGTATGTTATTATTTATTAATTTATTTATGGACAATTAAGTAAACTAAATTTTCAATAATGGGTATGACCCCCTCTTGCTCTAACAACATCTCTCATAAGATTTGGCATAGATTCAATCAAGTTTGATATTGTTTTTTGCGGGATGTTAAGCCACTCTTCCTCTACTGCAACAATGAGCTCTGGGATAGAGGTTGGGGCTCTTCGTCTAGCACGAATTCTTCGTTTTAGCTCATCCCATAAATGTTCTATCGGGTTTAAGTCTGGACTGCATGCTGTCCATTCCATAACCCGAAAACCGACTTCTGAAATGTAATCTTGTACAATCCTTGATGTGTGGGCCCTCGCATTGTCATGCATAAAAGTGAATTGGTTTCCAATGTAGTCGACGTAAGGTACCACATGAACTGCTAAAATATCTTCAATATACCTAGGACCAGTTAAACCTCCTCTCCCGTGCCGACGATCGCCCCAACGGATGAAAACTGGGTCGGTTCGCGCAGTCATAGAAATTGCACCCCAGATCATGCAAGA